TCTTCATACTTGAATGATGCCTTTTCTAGAAGCTCAGATACAATTACGGACTATTCTTTGTTGGGTATATCTATATGAAGGGGTGAGTGAGATCACTAATAAAAGATAGGTTTAAAGTCTCTTTATATTTCTATTTTCATCTAGAATCTCAAATAGATCTCTTTCTTTTTCGACGTCTCAATTGGGTTCTTATTTACTTTCCGTCAAATTGATAAAACGTCGTTAAAGAGAGTGTGACGTGACATGCTGACAGTATAATTTTTTATTACGTGGCATTAAAAACATGACTAAATTGTATTTTTTAATTAAAAAATAAAGTGTACAAAATGGAAATATAATTTAAGCAAGAGCAAAATTGGAAAATCAAATTAAATTAAGTGCTGAATTGGAAAATCAAATTAAATTGGAAAATCTTCAAACGATCGGCTCCTGTGCTTCAGCCGTTCCGTGTCCTCCTTCTTCTTCACTACTCGACCTCGCTCGGTATCCTCACTGCCTTCATCCGTTCGATTCCCTTCTTCTTCTCCCTCACCGCTCGGCCTCTTCCTACATTTCGTCGTTCGGTCTACTAGTAATAATATCCTATAACAGACTACCGCTAAACCTTAATTCCCTAACCTAGCCAATGTCGCCGTCAGCCACGTTGTGCCGCCAGCATCATCCTCGTCGGACCACAAGCCGTTGTCGCCAACCTCCATGGTCGCCGCACATTCATCTTCATCACCTGCAAACCCAGAAATCAGAAAATCCCAATTGCCATGTAATCCTAAATTGCAGATCCCTTTCTTCTTCCTTGCGAGCTTCGCTGCAACCACCAGTTAGCGACATCATCTCCTCCATCATCGCATCAGAAACTTGCATCAAATCCAAGCTAGAAAACACAGAGAAACCCAAGCCGCCGCGACAAAACCCCATCGCGAATCGAACCCGAAATTTCCTCTGCGAGAGACAGCCTGTCAACACGAGAACTTGCTCCACCGCGATTCGCGCTTCCACCATCGATCTCCCCTGCGAGATTCAAGTTCACACTACCTAATCGCATCTTCTACACAAAACCGTGAAGCAACCTTGTTTTATCTTCTCTGAATCACGCCTCCAAAAGCTGCCACAAGACATTCTCAATTAGCGCCCCCATGTTCTCTCGCGATGCATGAAACTTTCCCCCTTCCCTCCAATCTGAAACCCTAATTTTGGGTGGGGAAGGGGTGGCACAAGCGATAGCCGTCAAATTAATTTAATTTGATTTTCCATTTTTGCCCTTACTTAAATTATATTTCCACTTTGTACACTTCATTTTTTAATTCAAAAATTTAAAAAATAGAATTCAGTCACGTTTTTAATGCCACGTAATAAAAAATACACTGTCAGCATGCCACGTCACTCCCTCCTTAACGGTGTTTCATCAATTTGACGGAAAGCCTTTATTTGATTCAATTTTACAAAAATAAGGACCCAATTGAGACGCCGAAAAAGAACGAGACCCATTTGAGATTCTGGACGAAAATAGAGACCTAAAGAGACATTAAACCTAAAAGATAAAAGTAACTTTGCAAATGATGTGCTATAATACTAAGGAAAATGATACTTTGACAACATTTTTTTACAACATTCATTCTGTGATTGATCCAAAATTATTCCACAATCAATAATAATAATTATAAACACCAACATGGACCAATCACAGAATGACACGTAAATGGTATTAAAATGTTGTCAAAGTATCATTATCCTAATACTAAACTAAAGTGATTGTTATATGAGTAAACAAATATCTCTCATAAATTAGAGAGTTCTATTAAGTTTTGTTAGTTTGTTGATATTTAAAATGTATATATTTCAATTGAATTTGTCATTGTTAGTGATATGATTATTATTTGTTTTTTTAGCTTATTTATTTATTTTCAAGTAATAATATAAGGTTTTATAATTAATAAAAACTAATAATAAAATTACGTGATTTTTATTGTTTTAGTTGAAAAAAATATTGAATTATGAGATTATCACGCTTTGAAATGACTTCAGCAAATTGAAAATAGACTAACATTAATGCGCTCCCATGCTTTGAAAGATTATAAAAGGATGGTAAAGTTACATTGGTGTCTTGCGGAACCCAAAATCAAATTAATCAACTATCATATGAAATCTCACACAAAAAATAATAGGAATATTTAATCTCTCAAAAGTCAAGTTTAGATTTGTTACATCTTTTATTTTTGGATTTAGAGTATGGTAAGTTAGTTTAAAGTTCTTATTATGGGTATATGAGGTTAATGATTGTGTTTTGTAGGTTGAAGTATTGAGTTTGAGTTGGTGATTGATTATCTGAGCTAGTACATGGTTGACTAGCCTATTTGGTGATTAATTGGTCTTAATGATTCCGAGCTGTGGGATGTGGGTTCCAAGCTAAAGGGTGTTTGGCTTTTCGGTTGGGCTCGGCTCTAGGGTGGTACATGTTCAATCGCCTTGTTTGGTGGCTGGTTGGGCTCACTGGTTGACCACTCAAGCTATGGTTGATTGTCCAGGCTGTGGTGGACTAGACAGTCATACGATACACATGCCCTCCAAGCTCGAGCCTTAAATGATCAACAAAGGGGTTTGAATTTGATTTTTGTCATTTGGTTCATGTTGTTCTCATGTTGCAAGTGTAACCTGAATAAGAGGGTTTCCCTATTTGGAATTCATTCTTATGTGTCGTGTTCCTTATGGTTACCAAAGGGTTTAATGTTGAACACTTGGTCTTATGGTGGATAACAAAATGTTTCAAGTGTGGGGTCAAGGTCAACAATTTAGGCTGTGTTGTGTTGTCCAAAGCACCAAGTTGGTGATTGGCTATCTGGGCTAGTAAACTATAGTAAAAGCTTGTATTACTGGCGGATAATTATTGAAGACCTCAGATCCGTTGGTAAATGTTAATTACCAAAAGGATTACCAATGGTCTATCGTCTTTCCTTTACCGACGAATATATCTGTTGGTAATGAGTTGGTGATTTAAGTTATCGGTGGATATGGGCTATCTCTAAAGTCTTCGATGAAATGAGGACAAAATTATGGTATTCCCTCTCTCAATTTCATTTCTCACCAAACCCTTATTCTTTCTCTCTACTTTCCCCAATCTCACCACTCTCGCATGAGGCCTTTATTTGTTCACCATCGGTATAGGTTTCGCTTGCCTCCATTCTCCTTCAATCGCGACGTGGTGGTCGTGAGCCTCCATTCAAGTTCAATCGCGCTTCCCCAATCTCCATTGGGGTTCATTCTCGTTGTCGAGACTCCCTGTCGTCGAGGTAACATCTCTTCCTTCCCCACCTACAACTGCAAAGATCTTTTGGCCATTTAACAATTCTAATTCTATCTGAGTTACAACATGAGTTGAATTATTGATTCTTAAGTTGCTTGGACATGCCTAGTTATGGTTTTATGGTATGGGTGGTATGATTAATGGTTGTTTTGAATGAATTATAATGCTTGAAATTTGTTTAATACTTTACCCATTATAAATGTTAAATGTTGCTATGTTGGTCTGTCATTAATATTGATATGCATTGTATAATTGGCATGGTCAATATGTTTGGAATTTGTTTGTCTTGGCTTAACTATGTTTGATTGAAATAAAGTATCATATTAATTGTAGTGTTTAACTAATTGTCTCTCTATTGAGACTACTGTGATGATATAAACAGTAGCATGATGTGTATGCACGTGAAGAACTGCACTCTTATTGATTAAGTTAATTAACATAGACCAACGCTCTTGCCAAATCACCAAACTACAAAAGAAATAAAGCAACGTGTGATAGTTGCACCTTCAAGGCTAAAATAAAATGAATCCTCCACTAATCTAGAAACTTCATTGCACTAAGCTAACCCCAATCAACCACTACACATCTAACCTCAGAAGTTTCAGTCAGTGGCCTTTTGTTGGTAATTTTGAGGCAGTGTTTTTTCCTGAGTTTCTTCTATTCTTGGGAGCTCCAATCTAAGCTCATTTGCATTGAGGTTGAGATTAGTCTCATACATGGCAGTGCTTTCCATCTCTTCCTAGTAGAGTCTATTATCTGAAACACCCTATGCCAATTGTTAGAGCCTAAAAGACTAGTTTCTTATTCAACAATTGAACTGAAAAATAAAGGAAGGTGTTTGTTAATTTGTTGGTTGGTCTACTCTTCTTTTTGTATGTAGCTTGTGAGATGATGATGATAAGACTTGAGATGTGATAAAAGTGTAGGAAGGTATATTTTGTAGGGACATGGGAAGATAAAGAGGTGGTGGTGTTGTGTATGTATGGGAAATGATATGAATGAGTTGTGAGAGGGTCATAAATAAATAAATAAATTATGGAGAAAGACATGGTAAGCTCGGAAAGTTGACATGTTTAGGTTTCCTAGGAATAGAGTTAGGTAGTTAGTTAGTTCTTGTTTTGTTCATTCGTTTTCCAGTTTTAGCTGTCTGTGTCAGAGCGATGCAACATAATGGTTAACGCATTCAACAAACCAAGAGGGGGGGGGGAGGATTGGTTTCTTATCGCAAATCGTTCTTTTAATAATTTTCTCACGTAAATATAAATTCCTTAAAATAGTTTAAACAAATTAAAAGAGTAAGGAAGAGAGAAAATTGCACAAGTAATTTTTATCTTGGTTCAGATCAAACAGATCCTACATCCAATTGTTAATCTCAATTGAGAATTAACGCTTCACTAGCACAAATCAACAAACTGTTACAGTCACAAAGAAAATAAAACAGTTTAATGTTAGAACATCTCTCTTGTTACCCCAAGAGATGAAACTCACTTCCCATATGACCCACAAGGGATGAACACCTCCTCTGAATCTTCACAAAGGATGAACATCTCCTTCAAATGCTTCACAAATGATGATATGCTTTCAACTCAGCAACACCAACAACACTCAATCATACTCCCTCACTAGTACAAAAATATTGTATAATGTTGTTGTTTTATGGCCTTTCACGTCGAATTCGAGGTCGACGTCATATCGGGGGACGTTAAATTNGCTGCTCAGGGGGCAACCGAGCCAGGCTTCCAAAGCTGGCGTAAAGAACAGAACTGGGTTTCTTAGAGTTTAACCAATTCAGGCAATTTTGTTCGTCGATAGTGGGTGGCTTCCCTCTTTCGGTTTTGTCCTCTTTGCTTCTGTTGCAAAAGGACACTGGTCCTACAATCCATGCTTTATTTCCCCACTTGCTTTTTATTAGATCAGCATAAGCTGGTTCCAAGTCGTAGAAACTGTTGATAAGAGTGCCGAAACTCTTCTCCTCTAATTGCTTCATGCCCCTCACCCTTTCAGGAATCTCAGATGGGTTTCTCAGAAAAGGAGGAAGCTGAGACATCGTCATTTCGATTCTGTCGGGAATATTAGGAACGAGGAAAGGCTCCGAGTCTGTACTCACACTCTCAAAAGCGACATGTCTTAAGTTCTCCTGGACGCAGAGAGCGAAGCACCCGATGCCGTTGAAGAGGATTCTGGGGATTCCGAGCTCGTAAACGACGTCGCCGGACCAGCGATGGAACATGTCGACGACGATGCAATGTGGGCGGCGTTGGAGGAGGAGCTGGCGCAGTGGTTCGAGGAGGGCAGAGGTGTCCAGGAAGGGACCGACAGAGATGTCTGACTGTGGTACATCGGCGGAGAGAGTGTGAATGGAGATGGGAAGACCGAATTTCTGGTCGCGCGTGATGCATTTTTGAAAGAGAGGGGTGGTCGACGGTGTGGCTAGAATGGTTGATGAGGCTCCGTGAGATGCAAACATTCTTGCTGCGTCTATCATTGGGATTTGATGGCCTCCCCCTACGTAGGGAAAAAAGAATATTTCCACCGAAGGGGTTAAGGTCTTCATGTTGAAATGGAAATGTTTGCTTAGCTTGGTGTGTTCGATGGAGGAACAAATAAGGTTAGGGAGGTGAGTTATTAAATCTCACCTTCTACTATTTATTTACATGGAAAAGGTTTCATGAATATTTTTCAATTTTTCTATCCTTATTTAATATTTAATAAAAAATATTATTTTTTTAGTGTTTTAGGTAATTCATTTTAAATTATGTTACATTTTAAGTAAAAGTATTATTTTATAAGTGTACGATAGCGATTGAATGAAATGGTTGTTTTTGTGCAGACGGAAAAGCTTGGAGCAAAACGTCATGAGTGACATATTCCAAAGAATGTGCCAAGATTATTTGACTAGTGGTGTTCGTCTGAAGTTTCCAATCGCTGTTATTGGATAGAATTGTCAAACACGTGTGGAAGTAAAGCACAATGTATAGACTGTCATCGTAATTTTCTTCATACTTGAATGATGCCTTTTCTAGAAGCTCAGATACAATTACGGACTATTCTTTGTTGGGTATATCTATATGAAGGGGTGAGTGAGATCACTAATAAAAGATAGGTTTAAAGTCTCTTTATATTTCTATTTTCATCTAGAATCTCAAATAGATCTCTTTCTTTTTCGACGTCTCAATTGGGTTCTTATTTACTTTCCGTCAAATTGATAAAACGTCGTTAAAGAGAGTGTGACGTGACATGCTGACAGTATAATTTTTTATTACGTGGCATTAAAAACATGACTAAATTGTATTTTTTAATTAAAAAATAAAGTGTACAAAATGGAAATATAATTTAAGCAAGAGCAAAATTGGAAAATCAAATTAAATTAAGTGCTGAATTGGAAAATCAAATTAAATTGGAAAATCTTCAAACGATCGGCTCCTGTGCTTCAGCCGTTCCGTGTCCTCCTTCTTCTTCACTACTCGACCTCGCTCGGTATCCTCACTGCCTTCATCCGTTCGATTCCCTTCTTCTTCTCCCTCACCGCTCGGCCTCTTCCTACATTTCGTCGTTCGGTCTACTAGTAATAATATCCTATAACAGACTACCGCTAAACCTTAATTCCCTAACCTAGCCAATGTCGCCGTCAGCCACGTTGTGCCGCCAGCATCATCCTCGTCGGACCACAAGCCGTTGTCGCCAACCTCCATGGTCGCCGCACATTCATCTTCATCACCTGCAAACCCAGAAATCAGAAAATCCCAATTGCCATGTAATCCTAAATTGCAGATCCCTTTCTTCTTCCTTGCGAGCTTCGCTGCAACCACCAGTTAGCGACATCATCTCCTCCATCATCGCATCAGAAACTTGCATCAAATCCAAGCTAGAAAACACAGAGAAACCCAAGCCGCCGCGACAAAACCCCATCGCGAATCGAACCCGAAATTTCCTCTGCGAGAGACAGCCTGTCAACACGAGAACTTGCTCCACCGCGATTCGCGCTTCCACCATCGATCTCCCCTGCGAGATTCAAGTTCACACTACCTAATCGCATCTTCTACACAAAACCGTGAAGCAACCTTGCTTTATCTTCTCTGAATCACGCCTCCAAAAGCTGCCACAAGACATTCTCAATTAGCGCCCCCATGTTCTCTCGCGATGCATGAAACTTTCCCCCTTCCCTCCAATCTGAAACCCTAATTTTGGGTGGGGAAGGGGTGGCACAAGCGATAGCCGTCAAATTAATTTAATTTGATTTTCCATTTTTGCCCTTACTTAAATTATATTTCCACTTTGTACACTTCATTTTTTAATTCAAAAATTTAAAAAATAGAATTCAGTCACGTTTTTAATGCCACGTAATAAAAAATACACTGTCAGCATGCCACGTCACTCCCTCCTTAACGGTGTTTCATCAATTTGACGGAAAGCCTTTATTTGATTCAATTTTACAAAAATAAGGACCCAATTGAGACGCCGAAAAAGAACGAGACCCATTTGAGATTCTGGACGAAAATAGAGACCTAAAGAGACATTAAACCTAAAAGATAAAAGTAACTTTGCAAATGATGTGCTATAATACTAAGGAAAATGATACTTTGACAACATTTTTTTACAACATTCATTCTGTGATTGATCCAAAATTATTCCACAATCAATAATAATAATTATAAACACCAACATGGACCAATCACAGAATGACACGTAAATGGTATTAAAATGTTGTCAAAGTATCATTATCCTAATACTAAACTAAAGTGATTGTTATATGAGTAAACAAATATCTCTCATAAATTAGAGAGTTCTATTAAGTTTTGTTAGTTTGTTGATATTTAAAATGTATATATTTCAATTGAATTTGTCATTGTTAGTGATATGATTATTATTTGTTTTTTTAGCTTATTTATTTATTTTCAAGTAATAATATAAGGTTTTATAATTAATAAAAACTAATAATAAAATTACGTGATTTTTATTGTTTTAGTTGAAAAAAATATTGAATTATGAGATTATCACGCTTTGAAATGACTTCAGCAAATTGAAAATAGACTAACATTAATGCGCTCCCATGCTTTGAAAGATTATAAAAGGATGGTAAAGTTACATTGGTGTCTTGCGGAACCCAAAATCAAATTAATCAACTATCATATGAAATCTCACACAAAAAATAATAGGAATATTTAATCTCTCAAAAGTCAAGTTTAGATTTGTTACATCTTTTATTTTTGGATTTAGAGTATGGTAAGTTAGTTTAAAGTTCTTATTATGGGTATATGAGGTTAATGATTGTGTTTTGTAGGTTGAAGTATTGAGTTTGAGTTGGTGATTGATTATCTGAGCTAGTACATGGTTGACTAGCCTATTTGGTGATTAATTGGTCTTAATGATTCCGAGCTGTGGGATGTGGGTTCCAAGCTAAAGGGTGTTTGGCTTTTCGGTTGGGCTCGGCTCTAGGGTGGTACATGTTCAATCGCCTTGTTTGGTGGCTGGTTGGGCTCACTGGTTGACCACTCAAGCTATGGTTGATTGTCCAGGCTGTGGTGGACTAGACAGTCATACGATACACATGCCCTCCAAGCTCGAGCCTTAAATGATCAACAAAGGGGTTTGAATTTGATTTTTGTCATTTGGTTCATGTTGTTCTCATGTTGCAAGTGTAACCTGAATAAGAGGGTTTCCCTATTTGGAATTCATTCTTATGTGTCGTGTTCCTTATGGTTACCAAAGGGTTTAATGTTGAACACTTGGTCTTATGGTGGATAACAAAATGTTTCAAGTGTGGGGTCAAGGTCAACAATTTAGGCTGTGTTGTGTTGTCCAAAGCACCAAGTTGGTGATTGGCTATCTGGGCTAGTAAACTATAGTAAAAGCTTGTATTACTGGCGGATAATTATTGAAGACCTCAGATCCGTTGGTAAATGTTAATTACCAAAAGGATTACCAATGGTCTATCGTCTTTCCTTTACCGACGAATATATCTGTTGGTAATGAGTTGGTGATTTAAGTTATCGGTGGATATGGGCTATCTCTAAAGTCTTCGATGAAATGAGGACAAAATTATGGTATTCCCTCTCTCAATTTCATTTCTCACCAAACCCTTATTCTTTCTCTCTACTTTCCCCAATCTCACCACTCTCGCATGAGGCCTTTATTTGTTCACCATCGGTATAGGTTTCGCTTGCCTCCATTCTCCTTCAATCGCGACGTGGTGGTCGTGAGCCTCCATTCAAGTTCAATCGCGCTTCCCCAATCTCCATTGGGGTTCATTCTCGTTGTCGAGACTCCCTGTCGTCGAGGTAACATCTCTTCCTTCCCCACCTACAACTGCAAAGATCTTTTGGCCATTTAACAATTCTAATTCTATCTGAGTTACAACATGAGTTGAATTATTGATTCTTAAGTTGCTTGGACATGCCTAGTTATGGTTTTATGGTATGGGTGGTATGATTAATGGTTGTTTTGAATGAATTATAATGCTTGAAATTTGTTTAATACTTTACCCATTATAAATGTTAAATGTTGCTATGTTGGTCTGTCATTAATATTGATATGCATTGTATAATTGGCATGGTCAATATGTTTGGAATTTGTTTGTCTTGGCTTAACTATGTTTGATTGAAATAAAGTATCATATTAATTGTAGTGTTTAACTAATTGTCTCTCTATTGAGACTACTGTGATGATATAAACAGTAGCATGATGTGTATGCACGTGAAGAACTGCACTCTTATTGATTAAGTTAATTAACATAGACCAACGCTCTTGCCAAATCACCAAACTACAAAAGAAATAAAGCAACGTGTGATAGTTGCACCTTCAAGGCTAAAATAAAATGAATCCTCCACTAATCTAGAAACTTCATTGCACTAAGCTAACCCCAATCAACCACTACACATCTAACCTCAGAAGTTTCAGTCAGTGGCCTTTTGTTGGTAATTTTGAGGCAGTGTTTTTTCCTGAGTTTCTTCTATTCTTGGGAGCTCCAATCTAAGCTCATTTGCATTGAGGTTGAGATTAGTCTCATACATGGCAGTGCTTTCCATCTCTTCCTAGTAGAGTCTATTATCTGAAACACCCTATGCCAATTGTTAGAGCCTAAAAGACTAGTTTCTTATTCAACAATTGAACTGAAAAATAAAGGAAGGTGTTTGTTAATTTGTTGGTTGGTCTACTCTTCTCTTTGTATGTAGCTTGTGAGATGATGATGATAAGACTTGAGATGTGATAAAAGTGTAGGAAGGTATATTTTGTAGGGACATGGGAAGATAAAGAGGTGGTGGTGTTGTGTATGTATGGGAAATGATATGAATGAGTTGTGAGAGGGTCATAAATAAATAAATAAATTATGGAGAAAGACATGGTAAGCTCGGAAAGTTGACATGTTTAGGTTTCCTAGGAATAGAGTTAGGTAGTTAGTTAGTTCTTGTTTTGTTCATTCGTTTTCCAGTTTTAGCTGTCTGTGTCAGAGCGATGCAACATAATGGTTAACGCATTCAACAAACCAAGAGGGGGGGGGGAGGATTGGTTTCTTATCGCAAATCGTTCTTTTAATAATTTTCTCACGTAAATATAAATTCCTTAAAATAGTTTAAACAAATTAAAAGAGTAAGGAAGAGAGAAAATTGCACAAGTAATTTTTAT